AGAATTCGATAGAAATAGTGCGATTTCCTTCGTCATTTCTGTCGTGCCTATTTGCCTGTATTCCGGTTACGGTTTTGAAACGGAGGGTGATATTGATTTCTTTTCTTGCTTCAGACAAGACTCCGCGTCCGGCACCAGCTCACTCACATTACCCTGCCGTTATTGTGTCATGTTGAAGAGGAGCAGCCGGCGCCTCTACGTTCCGCTTTTTCGCCGTGCGTAAACCCTCCAGAAGTACCGTCCCAAGAACTCTCGTACTCCCGACGCGCATCACGTGGCGGCGCCCGCTGTCTGAGTGCTCCCTGCAGACGGGGTCGGTGGAGCCGGCCTTTCTGTGCCATGCTTACCCCCCTCCGCGTGGGAAATACGTGATTCTGGCCGCCGATGCCACCGTTGGCTGCGCCCGGTGGCTTTGTTCGGTCAGCGATCCGGACCGTTGCGTTGAGACCTCTGTGCCGACACATCAGGCGATCCAGCTCCGCCTGACGCGAATGTGAGTGGAATGGCCCGCTACGTTATTTTTTAGTGTCCTGATAGGAACAAATGAATGTGAGCCATGTTTTGCTGGCGGTCCCAGCGAATGGCACCATCTAGAGATGGGGCCGTTTTTTTGCTTTCCATGCCCATGAATCCATAGCTGTTTTACATTTTCCACATGTCCGCTTCAGAGCGTAATTGAAAAAATATTGTCGTTCGGTGAACAGCATTGCGATAAAATCGAATAATCGCATGAAAATATCGACGTCAGGGAGTCAAATTAGTGCAGGAGTTAGAGGATGCGTTGCGGGCTTTTTCGCTTTTCCTATCATTTCCAATTTGATATTTGTCACAACGATCCGTGTGCTCGTGACGTTGCATCTCGACTAGAGCCAAGACGGATGCAAATTCACCGCTTCGGATTGCCATGGGTAAAAAAGCTTGTTTAACTGTAATTTACAACCCAAACGCCTTCCCGACAAGAGCCTATATTTAACAAAAATGGAAGTTTCATGCTCACCTGGCCTTCCTCTCCTCAGATAAGTACATTGTGCGCAATGATACACCTGTTGACAGGTGTGTTATCCCCCAAAACCAGTTGAGAACAGAACGGATGACAAATATTGCTGAAAGCTAGCCACAGATGTACTTATAATTGTCTCGATCCCTCCAGATACCGCCCAATTTTCCTTACAGAGTTGATGAAGTGAAAGGAGTGGACGGAGAAAAATAAATATGCATATCATACAGTCTCGTTTATTGGGTAACAATGGTTCGTATAGCTTCCAGTCAGGCATGCAATTTTAATGCACGAGTGTTTTTTCCTGAAGTCGCCAATGCAGAAATTAAGACCAGAAACATAAGGTTGAAATCGCTCGCAGTGATTAAATGTTTAATGGTCGCTTTGAGCTTTTAAGTGGTTACAGCACTACGTCTTCTAAATTTTAGGCCAAGGAGGTAAAACGTAAGACACAATTTGAACATCTGTAAAACTTACTGACTCGCTCGTTATCATAGGATTCCTTCCCATTTGTTGTCGCGATGAGGAGCACATGATCGCTTACATCCTCATTTGTTATTGGTTAAAACCGTCATGCGATTAGTTATCGAACACTTTACAAACCCATCTTGGTGCCTCCGGATATCCTGCTGCTGATGAAAAGTATGTCACGTCGCGTACTGCCAATGTATATACTTTGTCTGCAGACGGTAAAAAAGCGTCCACTCGCTTACGAGCGTAGAACTCATATCAATGCCTACCGTTCATGAAAAAAGACTGAGATGCTCTCATTGCTCAAAGTTTTATTCAACGTATGCTTTCAATGTCGATTGTGATGAAATTTTGCGCATTAAAACACTGAAAGAGTATATCGTGTTTTAGTGGCCCAGACCTCTTTCAGCACTGCCTTGTGTGGAGACAATTTGTGGCCGATTTGTGGGTACATTTCGTTGCCTCCCAATTTTTTGAAGGGTCCTTTTAGTACCGTTTCTAATCTGCTCCTCGTCCTTACTGCCCCTTCTTTCCTGCATAAAATATTTAATCGCTCACTAAAAGAATTAAACTCTTCATATGAACTTGATGACGGCATGCAATTGCCAAGCCGAGTTCGCGCACCACCTTAGTTTTTTGTTAGGGTCAATAAGTAATTGAATGAGATGCAAAAACGCTGATTTGGAAACTGACAACGTAATTTTCTATAATCGTGCATAACCGCTTTCTTGTCTGAGTGGTGCGATTCGCATTAAAATGCGCCATTACGGTATCGAGCACCGTCAATCACCTGCGCTCGCGTCCCGGCGTGTTTTTCGCCAGAGGCATTGTGCAGAGCTCGTAAATGCAGGCAAATTTGAATGCAACATTCGGTGGGTGTGCGGTGTGAGCTGTGAGTAGAAGCTAGCTTCCTACATGCCTTAGCCGAGGCATATAGGTGAGGCATACCCAAGTTTGCACAGGTTCCTGTCCAGCAGTATGTGTAGTGTGCACGGCTATGAATGGGGTATGAGACTGAATATCTGAACTCTGAACATAAGTTCTTTTACTGTGTGAAGACGTTCAGTTAACTGCAATTCACACCTGATATCAGAATTTCAGTATCAGCATGGGGACAGCAATATTGTCAAAAAAATTATTTCACTTCAGAAAGAGGCACGGGAAGTTAGCCAGCTTTGATAATGTTTCATTCGGACAACAGCTGTGAAAAATTTCATTGTGGGATTGGTCGGTGTAGCTTTCGGGGATAAACCCAGTGCGGGACGACAATGTGCATAAAGTTTCATGACATTTTTATTCTTAGAATGCACTTGCCTGGCAGGTAGTGCCACGAATGAAACACGAGTGCTGCTCTTGGGGCAAGATTCACGCTGATACACCCCATTGACATCTTTGGTGTGCCTTGCTAATTAGGAAAAGCTGATACCAGAAGCCTAAAGCCGTTTCTAATAAGTAGTTTCAAATTTATGCCATGTCTATGTATCTTCAAGAGTGCATATTTGAAAATGCCCGTGAGAAATGCCCTGAAAAGTAAAATAAGGATCCTAGATTCAGGAGCATGTTTGTGTTAAAGCATTTGGAAATTTTGTACATGTGTTTCAAGTGATGTAGATTTTGTAATAATTGGAGCATGTGAGGTAAAGCAAAACTCTAAATTAGGAATGGAACCCGCCACATCTGGCACAAGATTCAGGATGTCTTCAGGCTTGACATTTTGCTGGCACTTGTGCCATAGCTTGTAGGCTCGTTGATTACTGGAGAGCAATTTTTACTGAGTAGATTGAGTTGGCGTCCCATGAAACACAGGCCATGTGAACTGTGGTTACATGGTGTATTGATTCATGTGAGTAATGTTTTTATCAGATTTGTTGCACCCTGTGGATATCTAAAACATATACCAACACACTGTGGGATTATTATGTATATGAGGCGAGGAAATGAGTATGTCACGCTCACTTTTTCATTGGCATAAATTATAGAAATCCTTAATCACTTTTCTTTTGGGGCCGCCATCAGCTCACTGGCTGACAGGAAGGAAGTACAGGTTAATTCCCCAAATTGGTTACAATAGGCAGAATGTACTTGAGTACAAAAATTAGCGACCTCCACATTTTACATCTCGCCTCCTTTTTCTGTTTGCAAATTATCTTAGCCCCCACTGATCAGGTGGAGGGGGGGGGGGGGGGGGGAATCGAAACCCTCCCTAAGGTTTTTTAAGAATGCCTCTTTGGCATGCTGGCGCTTTGGGGCCCCGAGCAATGTAAATCGTTGGCTCCGGCTTTGCCCCTGCTTGGGAAAAAAGCGTTTAGCCCCATGCCGCCACGAGGCCGACTGTGCGTCACTGGTGGCGTCTGACCGAAAAATAGGCCCCTATTGTCTCAGTGAGCCCTTCATCAGCACGCGGAGCCCTCTGGCTGGCAGCTGAGTGTCCGGCCCTGTGGGCCAGGGCACCTGAATGCGACCTCTTGCTGGCTTTTCGGGCCCTTCGGGCCCTCCAATCGGATCCTTAATCGTAGGTTACGAGGGGCCCGAAGGGCCCTCGAGACCCTAGGGGCCTACGTGCCCCTACCTCCCTTGTTTGCGTTGCTGATCAAGGCGAGGGTTAAGGAGACTGGTCATACCATTTGTATGTTGTCGGGGAAAAGCGGAAGCTTTTTTACCTTCCTTGTTCTGTCCCGGCTGCTGTCCCATGGTCCACAGTTCCGTTCTTCTTCTTTCTGATTCATCCCTCTTTCACGTAAAGAACGTATATTACATCTACCGCCCTTAAAATTACAGCAGCAGCAGCAGTTAAAATAAGGAAACTGTAAGCACGGGCTCAGCTGCACCCTTACTACAAGGACAATGCCCGCCACTGCTTTCCTAACGCATGCTCTTTTGAGCCCTCCTCCATTCTCATCATGCCCTGACCACCCCAGCCCTTTAAGGCGCACCCACCCCCGCCCCCCCCCCCGCCCAAACGGTCCGCTAATGGGGATTTGCATTGTGCCTCGCACCAGTCTAATGGTCACACAGACTGCCGGTTTCGTCAGTCTTCTGCTGCGAACGCCATCTAGCTCCCGCCGCGGCGAAGTCGCCTCACTGTGACTCCCTCCATCGGCTCTGGAATACTGCGCCTGGTCTCCGGCGTTTTGCCGGCCTGGCGGACTTCTGACGGCATGCTTTCTGTGCCCTCTGGGTCGCAGCCAGGTACCCAAGCGGTCCACCGGAAGCCAGCTCCGCGGCGGCGGTGCGCGCGCTGCGCGGCGGAACGTTGGCTACCGGTGCTCGATACCAGCGCTCTAAGATGGCCGCCCACTAACAATATTCGGCGCGTCGCTGAATGGCTGAATGACGGAAATTGCACGCCGGATTGAAAAAGATCCCCTGTAGTCGTATACGCGCGGACAAGATTGACCAGGACTTTTCTAAATCCACAAGCGGATAAATTTCAAACATGTAACAACAATGCTGTCTGCCGCTATAAGTATTTGCAAAGAGTCGACCACGTTTTTTGATATCAATAATACGCAAGACAGCAATAATAGCAAAACAACATTCGACCGCTTGTATTTCTCGTAATGCCAACCCGAACAGAATATACTAAAGCAGAACTCAAGGTCACAAACACAAATAACAGGCATAAACACGAAACATTTTGGAAGCATCAAACGTAAGAAATCCACAGCGCAAGTCGCTGTGGAGATCAACATCGCCCCAGCCCAAACCAGGCTTCTGATGGGGCAACAAAGGCGTCACACTAAACGGCATCCGGGGTGGGTGACGGAGATTCTCCATCGCCGCCGAGCCCGCGGCGAGTACGCTAACATTGTTCAAGAGCGCCGCACTGCTGACCCCCAACAGCACCAGCTGTGCTTTTGTATGAGCCGGAAGACGGCTGCGGTACTGCTGGCCGAGATCGGGCCGACCAATACCCGGCAATCCAGCAGCTGCTCCACGAGCCAATAGGCGCTGCTCAGCGCCTGTCGTCACGCTGAGGTACCGTCAGAACAGCAATCTGTCTACACAATTAGCATCGTTTGCTTTCACTCAAGTTGAGCTGAAGCCTTAAAATAATCAAACAAATTGCTGAATCATGGCGTAAAACTGCTTCATTGCTACCTTGTCCTCTTGCTGTTTCTCGTCGAGCCACCGGAGTTTTTGTGCCGCTCTTGCTGCAGTCCAGAATGTGAATTATGACGGTGGGGGGGGGGGAGGAATGCAATAGGGGCAAAAAAAAACCATCGTTATAGTCAAGCGTCAGCTCCGCCTTACAGACGTAGCCCAAAGACATGCCCCACCGGTTAGAAGTCGGCCCCGCCCTGCTGCAGCGACCAGGGGCAGTGCTGCTCAGCCAGCTGGTGGTACGCGGAGCCGGGCGGCACGCGGCGCTCGCGCGTGAACCGCCCCCACGTGTGCACCAAGTGCGAGCCGTTCACGCGCTCCAGCACGGCGTCCCGCGCGTCCAGCTCCAGAAACAGGCTCCAGTTTTTCCATGGGATGGCGTAAAAGCACTGCCTGCGGCCGTGGGAGGGGAGAGGGTCAGGACGACGTTATGGTGACCGCAGAGGGGCACATCTGTTGGCGGGCGGGGACGGGGCACAGCTGTGCTGTGTGTGAGTGACACAAGATTTCGAATTCAACTGTCGAAGCATTAAAAACGGGTGCACGTGTAGCCCAAGATCCACGACGTCAACGGCCTTACGCAGCAGCCTGCCACAAGCATACCCTAGACTGGAGGCACAGTCCGTCCTGAGCACGTCATGCGTCGGATTACTGCGCATCGTTCGAACAGAGGAGACCCGCCGCCTGCCTCAGCCCTGCTCCGAACGTCTCACCTGGTCGCGATCAGCAGCGCTGCACCGCCGGCTGACGCTCTGCACTAATGGCGGCGTCAGCTGGTCTGACACTTTATCTGGACCGTCCTCTCCGTGGACGTGGCATGCCTTCATCAGTCACCGTCCGCTCTCACCGGCCATAGCTGATGTAGTGGTCCCCGCGCTCACCGGCCAAGGATGGTGTAATGGCCCCCGCTTACCGTCCATGGTTCGTGTGGCGGTCCCCGCTTTCACCAGCCGTAGCTGGTGCAACGGTCCCCGCTCAGCGAATGGAGATGGTGAAGCTGTCCCCGTTCACCGTCGGTAGCTGGTGCATAGGCTGTCTGCTCTCATTGGCCGTAGGTTGGTCCCACTCACCGTTCGTCGGTGGTGTAGCCGTCCCCTTCTCACCGTCCGTAGATGGTGGAGTGACCGTTCGCTCTCACCTTCCGTAGTTGGTCGGGTGACCGTTCGCTCTCACCGTCCGTAGATGGTGGGGTGACCGTCCGCTCTCACCGTCCGTAGATGGTGTAGTTTCCGCAGTGGGTGGCCGCCAGCGGCGGGTCTCGGAGGCCGCAGGCCTCGGTGAGCACCTTGGTGACGACGCCGGGCCCGTTGTGTCCCCAGTTGTACGGGTCGTAACCCTCTGTCAAGCGGCTCGCCAGCAGCCGCGGCACGGCCGAGTCGCGGCTGAACTTGAGCACACCTGACGCCACGATTCCCTCCGACTGCAGACCAGCACCATCGTCCAGCGCTGCGGCCGTGGCGGCAGACGAAGGTCACGGGCCTGACCTAGACTGGCGGCTGATCGGGTCACGCGCCACTGGGTCCAGCAATCACCGGAGGACGCTGGTTACCCAGACGGATCGCAGGTAGCGGCCGAGACAGAGCAGGCCGTGCAGTGAAACACTATGCAACTACTACTGCAACAGCAGCAACTGCCCTATGCCTGCAACACATCACCGTAGACAGCACAGATCATCATCATCTTCACAATGGCGTAGCTCGGAGGGGGGCAACAGGAGGACAAATTGGGTTATAGAGGCTTTTCTCACCAAAAGGTCCCTCTTCGTCACGTATCGGCCTGATTCTATGCTCGGAATTCACTTTGCAAGGCATTACGGGCCATTTTTGGTGTTTTAGAAACGTTACGGACACTGGTGTTCATTTGATTTCTTTTGTGAGTGTTCTGCCCCCCCCCCCCCCCATGTGTCCCCTAGTGTTGGCTTGGTCTCGCCATATTTGGGGATGGGACATTACAAAAACACAGAAAAGGGATGGCAATTACACACAAAGACGATCTTCTTTCATTCTTCCTCGCAGTGTCGTTACTATGGGGGGTGCAGCTGAATAACTTGAAGCCGCAACCTTAATATGACGTCCCCATTGAAGGGGAAGCTTTAGGCATTGGGGTGAATCATCTCATACTTTGAGGTTTTCTGTCCTTCAAACGTTAGCTGCTGTCCGCATCCAAGTATGATACTGACGCCCCTTATTCTTTGTTGCAATTTTTCACGGGACAACACAACCGAAGTAGCAACTTTTTACTTTGGCACGGAATCAATAGTATAAATGATGGGTTCAGAGGAGTTAAAACTGAAAAACCACGCAGAAAAGAAAAATTTTGCCAAGACAGATTTTTTATATGATTCCGTGCTGAACATTGAGCATCGCTGTCACTTTTAACACGCGCCCGGGTGTCCGGTTGGATGCCCTTCGCTTGGGTGGGAGGTCAATTTGAATCCCCTGAGATCTCAGAAACTAAGAGAGCTAGAAACACTAAATTCACAGGATGTCTTGACCTGTACGTGAACTCATTTAGGCCAAAGTTTGAAGTTCCTAGGTCATGACCTTCGCGCAAATAAGGTCAAACAAATCGAATTCCAGGCTGGTCTTCAAAAAGTCCATAGAGCCAAGATACTGTTCTAAGCAAAAGGTCACATGATCATTTAAGATCAGTGACCTTTTGAACCTTTAAAGACCATGGTGACTAAGAGCACACGAGACTGCATTGAGTTTTGCATTTGAAAAAGCGACTAAGATTAAGTTAGGCAGTATGTTCCTAAAAACAGAATGTTGACCTGAGTCATGTTAGGTCAGTGACCTATTGTGGTCTTTAAGGAAGTCCATGGAAGGTGTATAACGTAGTTCCTGTTATCAACAAATTCCAAATGGGCGCCAGAAATCACCTCATACAGCAAGCTCTAGAGTAATACAATAAGTTGGCTTTGACTTTCGTCTGACCTTTGTACCTGACCCTAGATCAATGTTATTTGCTCAGTCACTTGTTGTGTTACTTTAGAAAGCATCTCAGAGATGTGTGGCTTCGTCTAACACTCCGCTTTTGGATCAGATCGAACGATTCCCTAGAAATTGCCCTCGCTGAAACCATGACCTGATCTTGACCGGTCACAGGTCCGCGACCTTACATGGTACATCTAAGTTGTTGATGCCAGACGATTTTCAATTCAATTGTCTACAGGGACGCAAAACTTGGCGCGACTACGCCGTGCCGTTCGGAAACCATTTTGGAAAAACCTTCGGGGGGTCAAGTTGACCCCCACCCCCACCCAAGTGCGTGTTAATTCGCCATCCCATAACTGTAGTACATCTGCAATAGATCCACTTTGCCTCGGTCTCTTATCCGAATAGCATGAAAGGTCATTTAGTGTGCAATGCGATTACACGGCCGTGGGCTGCCCTGTAACCAAGCTTACACTATCAAGCTGACGGTTAAATGACCCTCATTGGCGGACCATATAAGGCCACTTGTCCTGGACGACGAACATACCACGACGCATTTCGCAACACTACGAACGCGGCCAAAATGCCTTGAGCGCTCTGTCGTCGTCGGGCTTACGGCCCGATCATTGGTGTCTTTGGGCAAAAATATACTTTTTGGCGGGCGTTTTTCACCCTGCAGGCAAAAAACTTGTACAAAGACGATGTCCGTGAATTGCCCCTTAATCAGTTGTGTCGAATCATGTCACCTGTGACATAAAAAGCAGTCATGCATGGTTAAACTTTGACAAACACATGGCACCATTAATTGGAAAAGTGGTATCGTTTTTGACGGCACTAGGCCTTTTGGACAATATTTCGAAACAGTTTGAGCTTCATTCGTGTGACATTTTCTTTTTAATCGTGTAGCTGCGCTCTTCTACCATTGCAGGGAATTCAACGATTCGAGATCAAATCGGACATATAGGTTGCAAGGGTTTCAGGTCTCACGTGTATCGCTGTGTGCAGCAGGAAATGGTGAAATTGAATGCTGCGCAATCTTACGCAAATAATTCAAACTTCTTTTGTAGGCTGGTCATTTAGCACGCCGAAAAACTAGCTCACATCAAATTAAAATGACTCACCCTAATATAACATGCATCCATTACAGAGAAATTTACGCGCACCTCAGGCTGCGCAACAAAAATATAATAAACATACATGTAGCGGTTCTATGAATGACACAAGCATTTGCTCACCACTATTAGAACAAACTCATCCTCAACGTTGTTTTGACAGCGCATTTTTACGCACGCAATTCAAGCAGCTTGCTTTTAATCTTAATTCTACACAACTATCAGTCAATATAGGTCGATTCCTGAGCATCCTTGATAATGATCATGGTATTGAGTACAATTATTGATACCATGGCGTAGCTCAAATGCAAAATGTGGTACGACACCCAATTCAGACAGACATTTTCCCTCAACGCTCGTGATTCGCACTAAAATTGCACTTCAGATGGAGCAACATTTTACAAGGGAGGCGCAGCGACCTACTCCAAGGACGACAAAATCAAACTAGAGTAGACTGTATAATTTGCCGAGATGGCTTGGCCTCCAAACCTCGTAATTGTATCCATCAATGTATCCAGTTATCTATCACCATAATGCGGTCGCCTCATAGAAATGAAACAGATATGTTTGCTTACTGAGCAACGCACATATTAACGCTTTGACAACCCATACCCTGGCCATGTTAAGTCGTGTTTGCCCTCACCGCAGATCACACGTAACAGCTGAGCGCGTAAGCGATCAGCAGACTGCGCAGCTTGAGCCACACGACACACGAACGCCTGACATGTAATGCTGAAAAGCAACGGAGAACGGAAATAACCGAAGTCCTTAATGACTATCCCTGTACCGTATCCAACCAAGAGTATGTGCTGCCGGCCCTGGCCGCCTTCAAAGTGTGCCTTCGGCACGCTAAGGCGGCTTCCAGAGATCTGCCTCTTCCATATCAGAAGGTGCCTCCAGTTTCGCCTCCTTCCGTGGATTAGTCCTTGCAGGACTGCTATACTGTTTAATTTGAAGGTTTTTAAAAATGATAATACAATTTGCAATACAAACTGACTCTCGTCAGAACAAAGTGTGTAAGTCCGTTGACACAAAATAAGCGGAGGGACATCATGGGCCACTCGGTTCCCCCCAAACAAGCATGAAAACAGACAACCCTATTTGAGAGCATTTTACAGTAATGTTGCCTTTGACACCGAGAGTGCCTTTGCAACCTCAAATGGGGAGCTTGTCCGCCTGGTCACGCCACAGTATCTCGGCAAGTGCTGGACTCGTACCCACCCACGACTCGAAACCATCCCCGTATGACAACAGCACGGACGTCCGCCCCCTCTTGCTCTTCCCCACCCCTCTCCCTCTGTCTCCCTCCCTCCCTCCCACTCTCTTCCTCTCCCTTTCTCTCTATCTCTTTCCCTCTCTCTTCTCACCGGCCAGTGAGCGGCGTACAATTACATCCGTATCGAGGTAGAGGCCGCCGTGGTGCAACAGCACTGCAATGCGCGCCGCGTCGCTCATGTGGACCACCGGCCAGGGCGACCGCAGCACGGCGCGACTCTGGTACCACCGCTCGAAGGGCGTGTCGGCGAACAGCGACCCAAAGTCGAGCCGCGCCAGGATTGTGTTATTGCGCTCTAGCAGCCGGTCGGTGAGCGCGGAGCGGCGCAGGCGTGGCGCTGCGGCTAGCAACACGACGAGCATGCTCGGGTGCGCGGACGCCGCCGACTCAACGGTGCACCACTCGCGCGGAGTGATGTGGCGCCGGCCCGACGTCTCCAGCAGGAAGATACAGCCGTTGGGCGGGAGCGGCGGCGCCACAGGCACAGTCAGCCAGCGCTCCGAGTCGACGGCCGCAGGAGGAGGCCCGCGCTCAGCGGCGGCAGGGTAGAAGACGGCCACGAGCGCCGGGTCGGGACGCCACCACACCAGCCAGAGCAGGAAGAAAAGCAGCGGCGCGGCGGCGCTCAGCAGCAGCCAATGACGTCGCCGGCTGCAGCCGACGCACGCCCACACCCTGCCACACATCGGTACTGAACACGCCAGCGATCCGCCAGCGCCGATGCGGACGGGAGAGTCGATCGATCGCGTTATCTGTTTGTGGTAAAAAGCGTCGCTCCTGTGGCCAGCTTGTTTAGGTTCGCTCTGCGGTCGCGCAAGTGTCCTGGTCGCCTCGACGCGTGACGTCACTCGGTGCACTTTACGCCCGGCGATGGTACTGGATCGTCCGCCAGATGTTATTATCAACACTATGTGCTGGAGACATCCATTGCAACCCGGCACACCTGGCTTGTTTAAGCTATGTGGCAAACGCGATGACGCGGACGGAACAGCATGCGTTTTTCCCACCTCAAAATTCACTATGCACGCGAGGGACGCTGGGCGCCGGCCGGGCCTTTGGGCGCCGGCTGTACCAGCTGGTCACTCGTCCACCAACGGCGCTGTGACCCTCTGGTGCCGCTGCTGCATTCCCGCCAGATGTGATGGCGTTTCGTCGTTACAAAACTGCTCGCCTGCTCCGATTCTGTACCGTTGCCCCGGTCTTCTGTGTGATGCGGCCCTCTGGTTGGATGGTCATTGCTCCGATCTTCTGTCTAGCGCGGCCCTCTGGTTGGGTGGTCATTGCTCCGATCTTCTGTCTAGCGCGGCCCTCTGGTTGGGTGGCCATTGCTCCGATCTTCTGTCTAGCGCGGCCCTCTGGTTGGGTGGTCGTGTCGTGGCTCCGGTCACGCTCGCGGCACCGCCGGTCCCACCCGGCGCGGCAGTCACACCCGCACCTGCCGCCCCCCCCGCCCGCCACCGCACTGGGAGGCCGTCTGTCAAAACATGCGCGCGGACCCGTTGCTTCATGCAGACCAGCCCCCGCCCCGCTCCCCTCCCCGGCCTCCACTGTCGGCGCGCCGCGCGCCGGAGGTGACCTTAGGGGGACAAATTTATTGGACAACCAGAATGCCCACTTCAACACCAAAATACGCACCCTGATCACCAACTGAGTCAGCAAGCCGAAACGGCCAGCTCATTACCGAAAGACTATATCATCAACAATCGTAGAAATTAATTATCAAAATCTGGTTTAATAAGCCGACCAGACTTCAAGGCTACAGGTGAAGGGGATATCATCACCGAAGTGAATCACATCATAACCGAGAGAGTATCAGCTTGTCGCTCTCCGCAGCGTAATTGATATAAACTCCCTGCGATCCCATCCCACCCGTGGCGCTATAGGGGCTCAAGTCGCTATAAACGTACTGGCAGGGGTACATCTAAGACAATTAGACACGGACTGAGAGCATTCCAGTGGGAACCCATAACGTGGGGGTGGTGACGAGGTGAGGCGGACCTCTGTATTCTCGATCTTGGCTGACCTTCTGTGCTCTCGCCTCTCGCCAAATTTCGGGGAGTTCAAAGGGCAGATAGACCGTGGCAAGCATCATGGTACAAGCAGCTGTTTCCATAAAATTCTGCCGTCGGATTGTAATTGCACAATGGCTGGAGACCCAGAGCACACACAGCAACTCTGCTCAGCGTCAGCTCTCGTCTCAAACTCATCGAGTCAGAAAGGTTTTAAAGACCGTGATGACAGCAATAAAACATTTTACCCAAGACCGTATATGGACTACAGTATGGACGACAGGTAGGATGATCGGGCCCCGTCTAAAACAGGGCCCAAGTCTCTTTTAAGGCCCGGACCTAGGGGCTCTGAGGGGCCACTGTTCTTTTCTAGAGTGCGTGACTAGTCAGACCCTTATATTGTCTCGTTTTGGATCATTTATTTGTCATTTCTCTTATTTCCATCCCATGTCAGGCAAGAGGAGCTCGACCAACACAAGTGACTTTCTGACATTCAGGGTCCCGTCCTGTCCCTCTTCTGCAAAATGTGCCTGTGGCCAACTGCGAGCCCCTTGCCGACACAGGCCCCCGTGTTAAGCACTCTGTGCCTTGTTACAGGGAGCCACCTTGTTTCATGAGTCCCACCAACTCAGGAGGCCTTCAGTGACAATCGCGGGCACCGGTCTTGTCGCTGCTTAGTAAATGGATGCCTTCTTCCAAGCCTTCTCAGAGCCAGCTGCTCAGCCTCGACAGTCTCGGACCTACAGTAGAAGCCTTCGTCATCACGGGAGCACCGACAGGCGCAACGAGTCCCTTTGGCTGACCTTTGAGGGCCAGACCTTCAGCCCCGGGGTCGTACCCCGGCCAGCCCTCTGGCCCTCCAATCTGGCCCCTGATAGTCTGTGCCGATGGTCCTGAAGGCCACTCAGGGCCTCGCGGGAAGGATATGTCCCCACCACCACCAGCTGGCTGCGCTCCTGGATGTTTAGGCATGCACGAAACTCAATGCTAGTTAGCGACTCGCTCTCAGAATGCACATCCAATATGATTGTTGGCGCACGTGTCCCGAAAAGTTCACAAGTTGATGCCAGTTTGGTTTAGAATATTGCCGTTTTTTGCTGGTGGGCCTAATATTTTAGATTCTGGTGCAAATTTGTGATGTCCTACTGCATCTTGGTGATTTATTTCACCATCTGGTGGAACCTCAGCCAAGCTGGTGGATAATAGTGTTTCTGGACACTTTCCTCGTACATGTGGTGATGTAAGTACGCATTATGGTTAGGGTTTGTTAAAACGGCCGTGAAAACGTCCATATTGGTGGCAAAAATTAAACCGGTTGTAAAGTGTATGTTTTGGTACGGATTCATCCAATTTGGTACCGTGGATGTGTAGTTCCTCTGACTTTAATTTTGGTGACGGATTAATAGGGAGCCGTGACCGTTCTCTCTTATGACGTCACTCACGGTGTGCCGTCAAACAGGTTCGTGACGGCTACGAGAACGGCCATTGTTCTAGAGAGATTTGCGGACAGAAATGTCTCTAGAAGTGATTAATTCTCGACGCCGCTGCAATCTTGTCCGTTTGGCTCTAGATCGAGATTCTCGTGTTTTGCGTGGTGTTTCGCAACTGGTTCACAGCGGTGAACACGGACGGTGTTCTAGAAAAATTTGTGAACAGAAATATTTCTATAGATAATTTTGGAAAACGCTGCAATCACTTTCGTGTGACTTTAGATCGCGGTTCACGTGTTTCGCGTGGTGCTTTACGCCTGGGGATTTCTGGGAGACGAAATCAAGGTCGGATCCAGCGGAAAGGGGGCAACCGGGCCATGCTTCCGAAAGATGGTCAAAGTTGTTTTTCTCAAAAACTGAGATCTCTATAGTCTAGGCCTAGAGGAAAGCAGAGTAACTTTTACTAGGGGGAGTTTGATGGAAACCAAAGAGAGTTTGGTGGAGGTGAGGTTTGCCAGGGATCCTTTGCGGTGGCCCTGATGAATCATACTTTATGAACCGCGCGGGCGCTGTTATCATGAGCGGCGGCTGACCCAAACCAGCTCACTGGCCTCCAGTCCAGGCTTGATAAGACCGGCTAGACATACGTGGCTGTGTATACATACATGCATACATGTACACACACACACACACACACACACACATATATATATATATATATATATATATATATATATATATATATATATATGTGTGTGTGTGTGTGTGTGTGTGTGTGTGTGTGTGTGTGTTGTATGTGTGTATGTATGTATGTGTACATGTATGTATGTGTATGTACATTTATAGTGATATATGTGTGTATACGTATGTATGTAGTAAAATATATATATATATATATATATATATATATATATATATATATATAGCTTATTTCAACTTTTAGTTTCATTCTTGTTTTGTTTTCACACCAATTAAATTCTCATTTCTAATGGCAAACTATGAAATGATTGTTTGTTGACTGGTGACTGTTGACTGTTGACATGAAATAATTAACCACAGTGTTTTATTTCACGAATCATCATTTTTTTGTGCGAAACTAAGTTGCAAATGGTGCACATCAACGCCGTCTAAAACCAAAATGTAAATGTAAAACAAAAACGGGTTGTGGGCAGCATTCAAGTAGCATTCGAGGGAAAGTCAGCTTTGATCTGAAGCGGAAAGATAAATAAGCACACACCCACGTGTACAGAAAGCAAGATATCTCCGTCACGATGCACCAAAAGGCGTAGGATGGACGGCATACAGTCACACACTCGTTTCATCTCGGTAGAGCAAAGTTTATCATCGGCGATGATATTGATTCAATCTGCAAAGTAATCGTGCCAACGGTCCATATTTATAGGCTTACAGGAACAGAAACAAAATGCTATATCGTCTCTAATAGCATGCATTTTCAAACAGCCACATTCTAGCTTGGCAACACCTGACATTCGCATCATACTTGTTGAACTAATGGTTACTTACGATGGTAATCAAGTGATCATGGACAGCATATTTGCTTAAAAGGAGTGTTCTTCGTTTGTACGGGGTTCTGAAGTGAGACAGCCATTTTCAAGATGGCAATAAGTGCAGTTTAGAGCCCTGTCCTCTTTAAGGTTTAAGATCCTATGATTTTCTAGCCTTAACGCGAGACCGCGCGGCAGCAGGTCCGCGCAACGACCAAGTTGCAGCGGGCCCGCGCGGCCACCAAGTCGCAGAAGACACGCGCGACCACCAAGTCGCAGAAGACACGCGCGACCACCAAGCCGCGGCAGACCCGCGCGGCCGCCAAGCTGCAGCAGACCCGCGCGGTCACCAGATCCCAGAAGACGTTCACGGAAGCTGCTCTGCCGTCTACCTCGGGCCACGGTCCACGCGTAAGCAGACTAAAGCTGTACCCCATCAGCATCATGCCCGAACGTCAGTACGGCAGCACCAGTACGGCCGCGTCGCGGTTCGCGTGTGTTAGCGCTGGACCGCCTTCATCAGCGGCAGCCAGCTGCTCCGATCCCCTCCCGGCTCCAGCAGGCCGGCTCCTCTCCCAGGTGTAGTTACATCAGCCTCTTCTGTCCCATATGCGCCAAACTCGGACCATCCTCCTTGGACTGTCAGCATGCCCGGCCACTACTCTGACGAGGCTTACCCTCTCACCGCGCGTCCCGACAGCGTGCGGTCCAAGGACCGTCCTCCGGAACGCGCGCTCCTCCAGTGGGCGACGTCCTGGAAGTATTGCAGGGTAGCCGTAGTCACGGTCACGTCCATCCCATCGTCAGCGTGCCGGACGCCTGGTGGCGAAGAATGGAAGTATCGTTGTCACTGCTGACAACAGGTGAAGAGGCAATAGGGGAGCGTTGCAAGGTGGGCTACGAGTGAAATTTGCATTGTTTGTAAATGGCGGTAAGAAATGTTACTGCACTGTCTAAATCGTGGTAAGAGAGGTATTGTACTGAAAATAATTTGCCACGAGTTAAGACGCACACACGGAGACATATTCGCCAGAGGGACGGCAGGAGCATCAGGCTGTCTTCGTACCAATAACGAACAATTTGTTAGCGGCAAATGTATATGACCACCGAGCCGATTGTGTAAGATTTAGCAACAAACACGATGATGTACGTGGAAACCTTAAAGGGAGTGTATCTAGCTGGGATTAGATTCAGGATTTGTCACTGTGCACATTGATTAAAAAGAACTATGATTTACATCGGTTGGATTAGCACCCACACCCATTCTCTGGCTTGCAATTCGGTGAAAGAGCAGCCCCTGGCATATGTGTGCAGACACGGGTGCCGATTTTACAAATGACTGCGGGTCCAGAGTCTTAGCAGTCGTCATAAGGCGACAGGTATGAAAAACTTCTCGGATGTAGTCCACGTATGTTCTTGGCTTCTGGGTATCGATCATGAATGAATATATATATATATATATATATATATATATATAT